TGCCAATCTATACGATCAATAGTGTATATCATTAGCGAAAAATCTGGTTCATAATATTCATCAAAACGATGGATGATTTTGGCGAAATACATACAAGTTTGGATTTGTGAACCTAATGAACATCACACACACACAAAACTTCACAAAAAAACATACAAGTTTGGATTTGTGAACCTAATAAACATCAGCAATATGACATAAAACAGTAACGAATCCCAACGTCTACGTCTGTGTTATTTGTGCTGATTTGATATCTGTTAATATATGTGTGTTTGTGCACAAATGTCTTAATGCATGTAATCGCTATGTGTGTGATCAAGTAATATAGCACAGTGAACATAATGAACAACCCCTATATAAGCATGATATGATTTGTGTTATATGACATAAAACAGTAATAAAACTAAAACTATTATTACACAAAGTAGATAATTAAAAAGAGCAACAAAGATGTGAATTTACTGAAATTGAAWACTTAGTGAAGAATGTATATTGTTTGTCATCCCGAAGTCAAATTTTTAATGAACATAATGAACAGCCCCTATGTAGTTAGTCTTCAAAACTAAAACTATTATTACACAAAGTAGATAATTAAAAAGAGCAACAAGGATGTGCATTTACCGAAATTCAAAACTTAGCGAAGAATGTATATTGTTTGCCATCCCGAACTCAAATCTTTAATGTAGGCGTGTTCACATTAGCGTGTTCATAGCTATCGTATGTTCATATTGGGACACTTATTGATCATTTTCTTCACTTTCGGAATTCGAATTCCGAATGTATTCGTAGACGCTTTTAGCTTTTTCATTCTCATTGTCGTCGATCCGTTTTACTCTATGATTATCTATATTACTCGGACTATAACGGAATCTTTACAAAAGAGACCTTTTTCAAATTTACAATATCAAAACCATTATAGGAAAAATAAATATAAAATTCACTAAGATGAACACATGTGAAACTTCATGTCATTATTACATGAAGATCAATTAGTGATATTTTAAGATTTGTAACTCCCAATTAAAATATTTGGGAGTGACATAAGAATGATAAATTACCTAAATAATCTTACAATTAATATGTGAGTTACATTTGAACCTAACTAAAAGATGGAACATGATTGGTTGATGTTGGTTAGCAGAGTTTGCACAATAGTTTTGGTTAGTATTTGAACCAACCCCTATGTATATATATATATGTATATATATATATATATATATATGTATGGTTGGATTCTGATAAGAAGAGAAGTTACGGTGATAAACGTAAAAAAATATCTTTATTCTTGGTTAATTTTAATTGAATGTCAACAATAATGAGATGCACCAAGAGAAGTCAGATCAATTTTCTTCTAAAATGCAATTCATGGTTAGACATAAAATTAAAAGTAATCAAATGTTCAGATCTCTTCTTATGTTTCTCATAATAATTCATTTTCTCACACGATCTTTCGCCTATATATATATACATACAGATCGAACAAATATGTATTGTACATCAACCTCTGGGTTTACCCAAGTTGCATTAATGTTGCTTAACGAGTAGTATATATGATAGATTGATCATATACAAAGTTTCTAACTCGCTCATGGTTATAACGTCCTAAAATCCAAAGTATTAGACCAATCAAATAACTTCTAAATCAAGTCAAAATGATGATGAAAATTATTGGTAACCCATATAAGTGTTATAAGACACCCACAAATCTCGCTTTATACATATATGTTGAAGGGGTTGCCACAAACCCATATGCTTAAATCTCTAACATTTTCACTAGGCCTACAAGAATCGATTTTCATACCATTTTGTAACATGCAAATCCCTAAACAATATGTTAACCAATTACATATAAATCAACTTAAATCATGATATAAGTTATTAGTAATATACAATTTAAAACTTATAGAAAGTTTACACGTATTATTTTATAGCTATATGGTAAGTTGTCATAATAGTACTCAAGTTCGTATATGTAATTTTGACATGTTAAACGTAGTAAATATGGTTTTATTTATTTTGACTGTTCTGAAAAAACAAAAATTAAATTGATGCAAATAATCAACTTACATAAATAAGTACAATTTCCACTGACCCAAGAAATGAAAATATATTCAATTTAATGAAATTTTATGATGCATTTTATTTCAAAAAAAGTATTTCTTATTTTGAAAAACTTCCATGCCAAATGGGTAGATAATTATAGCTTATTTAAAAAAAAAACCATATATGTCATTATATTTCATGGTTATCGATTAAAAATGCTTGAATAAAAAGATTATCAGTCACAAATGTGTATACTATCATAGTTACATGAATTACGTTATATTTTCATTCAGTTATAATCAAATAATCTTATCATCAATAATAATAGTTGAAACGACTAAATAAACATGCATATTTATTATGTGAAAATTTATTAATTTCTTTGTGATCATTCCCAAATTAATCTCTAACATATGTTATTTAATTTGATAATATCGGATCATAGTAATGTAATTGATATGATTGATTGATTATGAATGTAAAATGCGTCGTTGGTATTTTTTTAAAGGGAAATATTCAGAAAAATTCAATAAAATTTTCCATTTTAAATGGCTTAGTCTCAAACTATTTTCTTGAAATAAAAAATCATTAAACTTTCTCATTTTAAATGATAAAGTCCCTAAACTATTTTTTTGTATTGGAAAAAATCATTAAACTTTCTATTTTTAAATGAAAAACTATTGAACCTTTTCATTTTAATTGATTAAGTTTCTGAAAATTTTTTTAATAAACAAACCATGACGCTTTAAAAAATTTGTCACCTAAATCTTTTTAACCTAAAAAACTTACATTAACTGAATAAAAGTTCGATAGTTTATTTTTATTTTTAAAAAAATTTCAAGATCTTGATCATTCAAAATGTGAAAGTTTAATGACTTTTTTATTAAAAAGAATAATTCAACGACTTAATCTTTAATGATTTTTTTTACTAAAAAAATAGTTCAAAGACTAACCATTTAAATGAAAAAGTTCGTTGGTTTTTTTCTTTAACTTTTTTTTTTTAACTTCTTTTTTAAATATGCAACTCAAAAAACCATTAAGAAAATTAGTAACCACAAGTATGCTATGGTTAAGCTATAGATGGAGGAAAGAGGATGGTGAGGACACCAGAGGAGAAACAGAAAGGTGGAGAGAATATACATATGGTTAAGCTATAGGTGTAGGAGATTAGAAGTCAAGAATACACGGTCAAATTATTGTTAAAAGTACAATGTTGTAATAGAAATTGGTGATATTATAGTAAAATAATTTTGAAATTACAATGCTATAATAATAAATTTCATGTCAGCACTATAGTATATGTGGACATCCTACATTGACTATGATGTCGCAAAGAAAGTTGGTATAATGGGTAAATTTAATTTAAAAAGTTACCTAATGCTATAACGGGTAAATTTTTGAAAGTACGATGCCTTAATAAAAAATATTTTGAAAATACATTACTATAATAAGAAAAACTAAAAGTATAATACTGTAATAAGAAAATTTATAAAAGTAGATTGTTATTTCACGTATTTTACCCCGTTTCAACAAACTAGTTTATGAGTTAACCTATGTACATTCAACGTATACCTAAAAAATAAACTAACTTATTTTTGTCAAACAATACATTAACTATTTAATTTCCCTTACTTTCAGTCATAAAACATCTAAGCCAATTCTCCAACCGACGATGAAGATATATATGTTGTTTGTATTTATTTAATTATCCCCAACTTCAATTTTTAATGAAACATAAAAGAGCATAAGTTAGATGGGGCTACGGATTAACCACCGAAATTAAGCAATACCTACCAGAAAATTCAAATTCAAATTCAACTAGTAATTATTTTTAATTTAATTTAATTTAATTATTAAGTAATATTAATGATAAACTATTAATTGATGTTAATTTTTAATTATTATTATTTAATATTAGAAGACCAAAAATCAAATATAGAAATTTTAAAAATACTTATATACAACTAGTAATTGAAT